GTGGCGTCACTGCAGCTGGCGCGGCTGGGCCCTGCACAGCAGCACGCCGCGTGCTTACAAACCTGACGCAGCGTCCGCGCTGGCTGGCAGACATCCGGCAGCATCATCGCTGACCCAGCCCGCCGCATTTGGGCAGCCACATCCTCACCTCTAAATTTAGTCCGCAGTTAGGAGAACCTGGGGGAGGGAAGAGGGAAAGGGTGGGAGGGAGGACTAAGCCAGCCCTGACCCACACGACCCTGGGATGCACCCTGAGAAGCGTGGAAGAGGACCTAACAGGACCAGAGGTCTAATCCCCTGGGAAAGCTTGGGCACAGGCTTTCTTGGAGAGGAGGTCCGGAGCCCCTGCTCCTGTAGGTGGAGACTACCGAGGAGGGCTTCCGGGCCTCGGGCGCCACCTTCCGGCCATCTAGGGAACACGTTCTGTCCCGAGCCAGGCCACTCTGGGTCTCCGGGCATTTGGAAGGCTATTGGTGTTTCTGTCCAGGCCCTGGAATCGCAGTGGTTAGTTAGAAGGGGTAGGTGGGTGATGCCAGAAGCAACCTGTTGGCCTGAGCCTGTTCTGAACAAACACTCTCTTTGCTAAACCTATGATGAACCGACGTTAGAGGACACTTGCAGGTAGAATGGAAACCTCAGTAGTCAGATCTTGGGATGTCAGAGAAAGAGGTCTGTGTGACAGTCTTTGATCCATCGATGGTCAGATTAGAAGGCAGGAGAGCAAGTATTTTGGTAATGAGGTAGACATACATGCATGCAGTGAATTGCACAGATTTTTTTTTTTTGTACTGTGAATTGAACTCAGGACCTTGTGCTTGCCAGGTGGGCATGGCACCACTGAGCTAGATCCCTGACTACTACATAGATCTTAAAAGTACAGGTCTACAAGTCTTTACATCTATGTTCTGTAACTACCACTCAGATTAAGATATAAATTTCCTGGGCTGGGGATTTAGCTCAGTGGTTCTGCTACCTTCCTTACAAGTGCAAGGACCCAAGTTCAATCCCTGGTACAAAAAAACAAAAAACAAAACAAAACAAAAAAACCCAAACCAAAAAAACTAATGTACGTGTGTGTGTGTGTGTGTGTGTGCGTGTGTGTGTGTATATTATATATATATATTTTTTCCCCCTCTGTAGAAAAGTTCCCTCTCAGTCATTTCTGCTCTCGCATAGTCTCTCTTCCAACCTTTGTCTTCACAGATTCCATTTACCTGTTCCTAAACTTCTTGGAAATAGAGTGCTCTTTTGCCTGGCTTCTTTTGTGCAACGTCATATCTTGAAGTCCATCTGTTTTGTTAGGAGTAGTTTGTTTAGTTCTGTTTATTGCTCAAGAATATTCCATTATAGGAATACAGATTCCATTTACCTCTTCCCAAGCTTCGTGGAAAAGGTGTGCTCTGGCTTCTTTTGTTCAATGTCATATCTTGAGGTCCATCTATGTCGTTAGGAGTAATTTAGTTCTGTTTATTGCTCAAGAATATTCCATTATAGGAATACAGTACATAAAGTGCATTGTGTTCTGTTGTTAGTGGACCTTTGGGTTGTTTCTCAATTTTGATTATTATGAATAAACTGCTATGGATATTCTTTAGCATGTCTGTTTGGTTATATTTTGGCATACTTTCCTTTGTGGTACAGAGGTCTGAACCCAGGACCTTTGTGCTGAGCTATATCCTCAGCCCCTTTTCATTTTTTGAGGCAGGATCGCAATAACTCACTAAGTTCCATAGGCTGGGCTCATACTTGTGATCTTCCTGCTTCAGCCTTCCAGAATGCTGGATTATGGGCATGCATCATTATGCCCAGCTTCCTGGCTGTATTTTTAGGAGTAGATTGCTATATGCTAGGAAGAATCATGCTTAGCTCTTAGGTGTGGATGACAGGTTTTTCTTGGTCTTGGGGTTGCTGCCTGACAGCTTCCCTCTACTTGCATTTGTTCTTCTGCTAGACCCTGGATACTATTAGATTCTGCAATTTTAGCTACTCAGACCTCAGCAAAGGCAATCGGAAGCCACGTTGCTTAGGTTGCAGAAAGAACAGGGAAAGTATCAGAGCTGAGTGGCCCCCAGGATGGCCCCCAGACACCTCCTAATCAGTCCGAGAATAAAGAGGTAGTATCTTCCAGCCCTAGGGCTGAACTCTGGTGCTCCCTTGGCCTCCTGGCATCAGCCCTCCCTAGTCTGGCGTCTCTGAGCAAGCTGGCTTAGTGTAACTGTCAATTTGATGTCTGGCTGTGGTGCCATGGGTCCTCATGGTCCACTGTTTCCTGGGATCCTCGCTGCTTTGTGGTGACTGAGGGCCTGGGGGGCTGGGGAAAACAGCCTACCCGGAATAGCAGAGGCTTATCAGATAGCAGCCTCTGGCAATTTCTGGGGAAGGGGTGGGACTTAGTCCTTCCCGTCAAATTGCTGCTTCCTTGAGGCTGTGAAAGACCAAGATAAAGCCAGAGGAGAAGGGAAGGGCAAGGAAGAGAGAGAGAGAGAGAGACAGAGGGAGAGGGAGAGGGAGAGAGAGAGAGAGAGGGAGGGAAGAGGCCAGTGTTGTGTGTGTTCAAGTATCCTGGGGTTGGTCAGCTGGTGCAAGTACTTTGGGGTCTGTGCAAGTGCCCTTGGATATGTGTGAGGATCTTGGGGTTTGTATGCGCTCTCTGAGGTTGGCCCACAGCACTATGCCGAGCTGAGCTAGCCAGTGTTTCCTGACTTTGGCCTTGGTCATCTCTTCACTGGCAGCCTCTTAGGTCCTGTGGGGAGGGAAGAAGTGATGCCTGACAGATTTGGGGTGGGATTGATGGATGCCGGGGCTTAGAATGGACTGCATCTCCTATGTGTTGGTGGGGGACCCCCAAATATATTTCTCCTTTCCTTTCTTTTTTCCCCCATTCTTTCTCCCTCTTTCCCTTGCTTCTTTTCCCTCCCTCCCTCCTTCTCTGCATCCTGTGGAGATGGCTCTTCTTGTCAAGGTCCTGGGGAAGGAGGCCAGAGGACTCCCTGTCCCCTCTGAAGGGCAGAGTGCCTGTGGGAGCCCCTGAGGGTGCCTTAGAGCAGGTGAGCCAGGACACCTACCCCTTCCTCCTCCTCCCGCAGGTTCCTAGGAGGTGAGTGCGGACGGTATGCAAAGTTGTGAATCCAGTGGCGAAAGTGCGGATGACCCTCTCAGTCGTGGCCTGCGGAGAAGGGGGCAGCCTCGTGTCGTGGTGATTGGCGCCGGCTTGGCTGGCCTGGCTGCAACCAAAGCGCTTCTGGAACAGGGCTTCACCGATGTCACTGTCCTCGAGGCTTCCAGCCGCATCGGAGGCCGCGTGCAGAGTGTGAAACTTGGTAAGCTTGACCCTTACCAAGCCACCTCCCTCGGGCAACTTTTATCCCCTAAACCCCCGGTCCTGCCAGAAATCACATTATTTTGAGCTTCTTCCATGAAATAAACATTCCATCATGTAACCTGTCTGAGCATTTTCCAGAAAGTTCCTTCCCCCCTCAGCAGCCCTTTGATGGGGGCATGGTGGGGCTCTGACCTCCATTTTTGGAGAATGCTGACTTGGTTCATGACCAAGGCTCACAAGATTTAGGAGGGAAGAGAAACTCAGCAGCAAGTTTTCTTGGTGTTGGGCTGGCCAGTTTCTATGTCAAAGAAGGAGAATTCTGCAAGTTCCTATCCATTATTAATAATTTGAGTGTGAACTGATGTTTCCTGGCTGAGTGCTAGTCCTCGGGCAGTAGGAACTTAGGTTAGCAGAGGTGGAAGGGAATTTGATCAGTGATTTGATCATTGATCTCATGATCAATGGATCGGGTCTTGAGATTCCAAGTCGAAGGTAATGCGGATTCTGGAGAAAGCAGCCAGTAACAGACTTGTCCATGGAGTGGGCAGGTTTTGCCAGAGGGCCTAGAAATGCCGGGAGATGTTACATGAAATGCAGTTAGAAGTCATGGCTTCCCAGCCAATGGTGGGTCTGACCAGTGAGGGGATGAACAGATGAAGACCATAAAAATGGCCCTGTGAGACAACATATGGTGTCCTACAGTGTGTGGGTGATGTGGTCCCTCTAGAGGAGTCTGCGTGTGTGTCTGTCCCCACCCCAGCCAGCAAGTCCAGGCAGAGCCTTTGTGCTCACTTGCTCAGAGAAGTAGGTGGTCAGGCTGAGACTGGCAGAGGTGAGGATCCACAGGACCTTCTATCTTCTTGCAGAAACATGGATTACAGTAAGAGTCTTCCCTAGAGTAGTGCCTGGCAGGCACACACGAAGTCATATCCTCGTCGCCTGACACACACACTGGAGTGTCTGCTGGTAGTGAGGAGGAGGGTGCCACCCGACGTACCCATAACTGTGGGGCAACCCGTGGATGCCCTGGGACTCTTTGGGAACACCTGGTTGGCTGGCTGGGAGCCTCGGGGAAGGGCAGTGCCATTTGGTCTGATATAGAAACAGAAGACAGATGGCCTGGCCACAGTGGTAGCTGACAGCTGAGCTGTGCCTTGCGTGGCAGGGAGATGATGGTACCGGCAGGAGGCTGTGTGGGTGCAGGTGGGTGTTGGTGGTAGTGGGAGTCAGGAGATGGAGAGCAGGACGGGTGGCTGGTGTGAAATGACAGGTGTGAGGAGCCCTGAGAGGGAGAGCGTGTGGGGCAAGGGTGTGTGTGCACGTGCCAAGTGTGCTGACACGCAGGCCTGAGAGCCCTGTTTTAGCTGGACTTGCCGCAGCTTGGAATGATGGCTGTGAACTTGTTGATGGGAAGAGTAGCAGGAGTTAAGGGCCAGAGGGCTTGAAGTCGTAAAGTGTTTATGAAGTCAATGTGGACATGGTGCCTGGGACCCTTTGGATACACAGATGTGGCAAAGGTGGCAGACTTGGCTGTGTGGGAGAGGGCAGGAAATACCCTCGCAGAGGGGCTTGCTCTGGCGTCCCCACCTCCTGGTAAAGCCTGGGGTTAGCAAGAAGTAGGCCGCGGACTTCGCTCCTGATCTTGCACTGCTCACCTCTGCCTGTTTGCTGAGTATCCTGAGGCAGGAAGAGACCCTGTTCAGGGCTGCCCAGTGGTTGTGTGACTTGAAGCTCCGCTGTGGCCTGTACCAGGTTAAGGTTCCTCTTCAGAGCACTGAGCAGACACTTTGGGAGTCCCGAGCCAGAGGAGGATTAGTGCATGGGCACCTTTGGTGGCCACAGGCACCCCTCAGGCAGTCCTGGACTTGAACTTTCGGTGCTCTCCAGTCGACCCACTTTTGCTGATCAGAGGGTCTTGTACCTCCCTGCCTCTTCCAGAGACACCAGGAATTGCTGTCTTGCTGGCAGCATGAGGTTGTATTTTCTCTTGTTTTGCGTATGTATGTGCATAGGGGGATATTTTTAGTAACTGGCAGTTGAATTAGAAGCAGCCCAGGAAAAGGAAGGCGTGAAAAACAGGAGTGCATGCCCAGTTCTTGGGGTGAGGGCTAATAGTGCTAACTGTTAGAATGTGTCGCACACATACTGCTGCGCAACAAACTTCCCCTAAATGTGATGCCTTAAAACATCAACCTTTTATTTGCTCAAATTCTGCAGGTCAGAAATGTGGTTAGAACTCAGGTAAGTGGGTCTGTTGCTGGCCCCACCTTGGGTCCCCTGTAGGGTACCCCCAAAGTTTTCTGATGTTGGTTAAGATATCTGAGATGGCCTCACCCACATGTGGGTGGCATGGGCTTTTGGCTGGGCTACGTGTCTCCAGCCGGATATGTCTGGGTTTCTTTCTGTGGCTGTCACATCCTAGAGAGTTAGAGTGGAAGCTGTGAGGGCTCTGAAGCCACAAATATCACTTTCACCACATTCCGTTAATCAAAGCAAGTCACAAGGCCAGCCCAGCTTCCAGGGCTGGGAAACAGACCCCACATCATGGTGGGAGGAATCACATAGTCACGTTGCTAAGGGGTGTGGGCACAAGGGTAGAAGGAATTACTGTGACCATCTTGGCAAGAAATTTACCACATGTATCTTGAACCAGGCCTGCAAAAACAAAACACAGCACTAAAAAATGTGTCTGTCTATCCTCCTCCTGGCATTGTTTCGGCTTCTTAGGAGCCAGGCAGGGAAGGAAATAAATGTGTCACAGTCCCTGCTGCAGCAGATGAGGAAACTGAGGCTGCTGCACGTGGGCAACTTACTTCAGGGGCCTGGTCCCTTGGGTGGGGAAGTGGAACCTGTTCCCAGGCCTGTCTCAGCCTCAACCCCCGGGTGGCCCCTGCCCCAGATGACTCTCGGGGTTTTGCCCCTGTGCCAAAGGATTAGAGAGCTTCTTTTTTCTTGGAGGTCTGCTTTTGGCTGCTCTGGGGAAGATTCTTCCAAATCAGAATGTTGGCCCTGTCTTTTCTGCCTTGGGAGGGGACTTTTTCTGGCTGGGAGAAGGGTTAGACACTGGGCTGTGGGGGTGATGAGGAGTTGGAGTGGGGTGGGACGAGGACCTTGGTGCTTCACTGGGACTGCTGTGCCGGGGTGACCACGGTACTCCTCCTGGCTGGGGGGACACCTGGGAGGAAGCGGGTGTGGTATCTGGTATCATTTTGGAAGAAGGTGTGACTGGAAGAGGAGAGCTTTCTCAGTGGCTCTGGGCACATCCCAGAGTCATTCTGCATGACATTTATCTCAGCTGTAATGAGGGTTTCATTGGGAACTTTCTCCTGAAGCCTTTGGTTGTTTTCCTGTAAGGGACTCTTAAGCCCTTTCTTGCCCTGGTGGGAGGTGGGAGGATGCTTTTGGAGGAGGGCAGGGAGGCCGTGTTCCAGCCCTGTCTGAGGCAATCCCGCCCCTCTAAGGGCCTGTTGTTGTCCCCATCAGGACACGCCACCTTTGAGCTGGGAGCCACCTGGATCCACGGCTCCCATGGGAATCCTGTCTATCATCTAGCAGAAGCCAATGGCCTCTTGGAAGAGACAACCGATGGGGAGCGCAGTGTGGGCCGCATCAGCCTCTATTCCAAGAATGGCGTGGCCTGCTACCTCACCAACCGCGGCCGCAGGGTCCCCAAGGACGTGGTTGAGGAATTCAGCGATTTATACAACGAGGTGAGCGGGGCACTTGGGCAAGGGGCATAGGGGGTGTTGGGGGACCTGTTGGGTCTTCTGTGATCCTGATTGTGTCTTTGCACTCTCTGAGCCAACTAGTTTGAGGATAAAATGAAAATGATGAGCAGAGAGCAACTAGGAAGGCATTATTATTATTTTTTTCTTCTTTTTTTTTTGCCCTTCCAGGGATTGAACTCAGCACCTTGTGCTGGCCGTGCAGGTGCGGCGCCACTGAGCTACATCCCTATAGGAAGGCATTATTGATATGTAGAGTTAAATATTTCTCCAAAGGCCTCCCACATCATTTGTTAACATTATTACAAAGTACTTGGGTGGTGATTATTGTTGCTGAGCTCATTTTTGGATGCTCTTTCAACTAATCTTTTAAAAATTTTATTTTCTAATTGTTTCTGGTATATAGCAATAAAACTGATTTCATTTTTTTTCTGTTTTTTTTTTTTTTTTTTTTTTTTGTTTTTTTTTTAAACTCGGGTTTCATG